TTAAAAGTTGAACTTTTTTAAGTTGATTTACATAGTAAAGACCAAAAAATAAATTAAAAATGTTCCAAAAAAATGTGAGTTTTTCAAGAACTATTTTAAATTTTTTTTTATGACGAGGTGGTTTATTTTGTGAAAGTCAACACTGAAGTGTCTACAATGAACATAACCCGAGACATAACAAATTTTAAGAAGTACATGATTATTTAGTCAGAATCACGGAAAAATCCAAAATTTGACAGAAAAGAAGATAAAAGGAAAAATGTGAAGCCAATCGAAATTCTGACACCAAATTGGGTGTCCGATATAAAAAGAATGCCTCATATATATATTATAACATAGAACAATAGTAGTGTTAGAATTGTACTATACTTATTATTTGATTAGATGTAGGGTTGCATTTTATAATTCTTTTATGCCATTACAGTATCTGAACGTTAGATCTCGAAGGCTTGATTTCGGGATCTCGGCACTCCAAAAAGGGCTCGGGACTCCCGGGATTCGGAAATAGAAATGTAATGGTTTTTGTTTTGCTTATTTTTTAACCAAATTTGTGCTGTTAAATGAAACAGAAATAACACGTTGTCGGATGCTGCCTTTCAACCTATTGGAGGTTACTTACGAAGGTATTAGCTACTGAATAAAATGAAATTCAGCTGCTCAAATCTGCCACTAAAATTTTAATGTATTGCTTTTAGCACGCTTATATTAGCTTCGCCCGTGTACACCACACACCATACTTGGAATTTTGCAACTCTGACAGCGAATTCGTAATAAGCGACCCCTAAAACCCCGGACTTTGGCCGCACTTTTGAATTTCGGACGCATTGTGCTTCGCCCGAAAATCAAAATGTTTTGATATTTTAGGATGGTTGCCGCGTCACACAATGGGACTACAGCGGCCAAAAATAAAAAAAATAAACGACTCACTAATTATAAAAAAAGTAGTTGCGCAGATTCAATCCAAAATACCCAACTAACCCATATCAAAAAGAATTTTTCCTAAAATTTCATATTTGCGGCCATGGGACGAGTTTAAAGTAGATGCAACAAAAAAAAAAAGAAAAGTTTTGAAAAAATTGTCATTTTGTTGGAAGTTTTTTAAAGTGTTTTTTTTACGTGTGCGGAGGTATAATTGGCCAATCCGATTGATTACCAGTTTTTTTAATATATACTTAGAGTGTGGCAACGTTTGTTTTTTCACTTGGAATTTGACATTTACGAGTTACTGTTACTTAAATATTAACTGAAACTGAAGATTTGTTGTGGTAAAAAATTTGTTGGATAGTTGTTAAAAAGTTTCGCAGACTTCATTTCCAATTTGTTATACCAAGTTATGTTAATAACGTTCATTTTTAGCTGCAAGAAGTCGCAATTTCACATTTTATTGATCTTTTCACAGTGCCATCTTCAATAAAAATTTTTGAAATTTTTGAGGTGTGGCTGACTTCAAAAAATTTTTATCGGCAAAATCAAATCAAAACCATTCTAAAGTTCTTGGATGAAAAATGGGAAGAAGGAATTAATATTGATGACAAGAAAATTGGCTTACTGGTTACCAAATTCTCACAAAAATGGTCAAAGAGCCACCGCATTGGCTGAACACAGAATTAAGCTTTCAAAAGCAAGATGAACATGCGGGACCAAATAATTATGATTTAATGTCATACATGCTGCTTTCCTCTGATCCACTATTAAGAAGCAAACGACGAGTTTTTAAGAATCGTTCTTCTGTAGAGATAACGGAGTTTCTTGTACCGGAAGAAGAAGAAATCGGCTGTAGTAGTGATTTGAGCGATGAAGATTTAATTTAGTTTATGTATTATGAGATTTCGCAATTACTTCAATTAATGAAATAACGTTGTTTTAATACATTTTAAATGTACCTGAGTTCCCTTCTAACTTATGTTATTTTAAAAGAAAATATAAACAAAATACATGAAAAAATGTATTATTCTTAAATGCAATGCTAATTTTAAATCAAAATTAAAGTACCCATAGTCCAATTTGGTTTGAGCATTACAGTAAGCAAGTCTCTTAAAAATGTGTACACAATTTAGTCGAAATATCTTCATGTGTTATGCTGTCATAATTTTTTTTCGTATATTTTGTATGGTGGGTGGGCGTGTCCATTGTCCGATTTTGACGATTTTTGATCTCAAGTGTAACATTGGCTTTAAAATGACGTGTGCAAAATTTTATTGCTCAAGCTCAATTCCTTCTATTTTTGGCTACACTTAGTACCGGGATGTCCCACTGTGCGTCGGTTGCTCCGTGTGTAAAAAAGTTATTGGCTTAGTCCATTGAAAAGAGTTGAGCTGAATAGGCGTTTTGGTAGAAAACAAAATTTTCATCCGTACGTTCATTTCATAACAGAGCATACACTACTGAGGTTGCTGCAATGGGGGCCTATACGGTTGCCTCGTTTGTATTGAACAAGAAAAACAGGTTGCCTCAACAAGTTGCTTCAACGGTTGCCCCGTGTGTAGTTGCTTTTACAAAAACGATGCATTTCTAATTGTTCTTGCTTCTTACATCAAAATATAATTGTTTAGAGAAAGTGGACTTAGCAGCAGATGTTCCCCGTTAGAGAGCTATATGTAGTATTAAAAAGTAAAATAATTTTTTTTTAAAGTAACACATTTCGCTGTTTTTGAACTGGCGTGGATCTAGTTAACATCGGACTGGTTCGTTTTTGGCCATAAAGATCTAGTACGCAGTAGAAATTTGGATTACTAGTTCGGGGTTTCCTTGCAGGGTACATATGCAAATACATGTGTATAAGCGCAATACTCTTAGGTAAAAATATAGAAAGCCTATGAGAAATAAAGTGATAATCTAATATATAGAAATTAATGTATTTGTGTGTCTTTTATAGGTGTCCAAAGTGCATAACCAATCTTTGTAAAATTTTAATAGCTGCCCTAGGGGAAAATACATCTAACGGGTGATTTTTTTGAGGTTAGGATTTTCATGCATTAGTATTTGACAGATCACGTGGGATTTCAGACATGGTGTCAAAGAGAAAGATGCTCAGTATGCTTTGACATTTCATCATGAATAGACTTACTAACGAGCAACGCTTGCAAATCATTGAATTTTATTACCAAAATCAGTGTTCGGTTCGCTTTACGTCCGATTTATGGTCTACATAATCGACCAAGTGAGCAAACAATTAATGCGATTGTGACCAAGTTTCGCACTCAGTTTACTTTATTGGACATTAAACCAACCACACGAATGCGTACAGTGCGTACAGAAGAGAATATTGCGTCTGTTTCTGAGAGTGTTGCTGAAGACCGTGAAATGTCGATTCGTCGCCGTTCGCAGCAATTGGGTTTGCGAAACACATTTCGAACCGAACACTGATTTTGGTAATAAAATTCAATGATTTGCAAGCGTTGCTCGTTAGTAAGTCTATTCATGATGAAATGTCAAAGCATACTGAGCATCTTTCTCTTTGACACCATGTCTGAAATCCCACGTGATCTGTCAAATACTAATGCATGAAAATCCTAACCTCAAAAAAATCACCCGTTATATATATTATTTTTGGAAAATTATATTAAAGGCAAACCACTACTCATCATATCTTCCCAGCTATTGGGCGAAAATTAATAATATTTAGCGTATATGTCCTTTAGATGAAGCTATGGCTCATTTTGAAATGATGGGCAGTGCCACGCCTCATACAATAAAACTGTTACCATTTTATATGTGCGCGCATCACGTAAAAACTTCTGGATCAATTTAATCGAAATTTTAGGGAAATAAGTAGAGAAGGTTTACGTTTTTCTGGTAGGTGGAACAGATACCGATCTATTCGAAAATTGTATTTGTGAACCGCTTTTCTTAATTTTTAAAATTCATGCAATATTTTTTTCCTAGATCTATATGCTAGCAAATATCCCGCGTGCTTCGCTGCGCCTTAAAAGTATTTTGGTGTTTTTACTCGCCCTCAATACATTCATGGCCCTTAGTTAATATTGTATTGAAAGATTTTGTTGCCAAATTACAAAAAAAAATTATTTAATGGTGATTTCGTTTCTACCAAAAAAATTGTGTATTTTGATTGCCCCTTTCTCTTTTCGTGTTCGATTCTAAATTAAATGTAAATGGTGAGAAAATTGTGTGTTCGTTTCTTAAAATGTCACACTCTTGTAAGGCAAAAAGGCATATTCTCTGCGCTGTGAAGCTTTGTCAGGGGAGATGGTTGCCCTGAAAATCTAATGGTTGTTTATAACGACAATATTATGAAATGCGTGAGCAAGACAAGCACAAGAAGGCAAAAACATGAATTTTTACAGGGTTCAACGTCACTTTCAGAGCTTTTTAAATCTATTTTATTTTTTGTGAAAAAGGACATAAGAGTTTTGGAAGTATTAACAAAAACGAAAACTGTCAACAAAAAGGATTAGCTTAACACCCACATGCCTTTGGTGTGAATTGTGTTGGTCAGAGTTGTGACTACCATTACCATTACAATGTAATGGATCTTGTCACCTGCGACATTTTGTAATAGAATAAAATTTACACTTGAAATTTGTTACTCGGCGGTTTTTGTGGTCACCGACTACGCTCGTATTTTTTAATTTAAATTGGCGGATGCAATATGGCGGATAAATTTTTGATCATTCATCCTCTTCCAAAATTGGTTCAGGTAAAAAAAAATCGGCTATGTTCTTGAAAATTCGGTAAAAAATTAACCAATTTTGGAGAGGGGCGCTTCATTTGACGAAATACTCGCTTACAAGCCTTTCCAATAATACATATTTAAATACATATGTACATATATCTTATCTATGAGCAGTAAGGAGTAAAGAGTAAGAGTTGTATTTAATGGGTAACACACTAGACTTATATTTTCCTACAAGGTTATCTATAAAAATGGACAGGAAACTTTATTCATTGGATTAGCGAGCATGGGCTCGTATTTAATTACACAAAGCTTTTGCCTTTTTTTAATTATTTTCTTTATTATTTTCTTGTTTGCTTAACTGTAGATGATTTCACGTCGCATAGCGCATACCACCACGATGGCCACCATCATCCTGCGAACATTTACAACAATCCCTTCAGTTCCTTAGCCAACATGCACGAAGTTTATGAAACCCATGAGATCCATCAGCGAAAATACGACAATAAACAGAGAGAAATGAAAAAGCACATCGAAATGAAGAAACACAGGTAAGTACCTATAAAGTAATGCCAACCAGTAAATACAAAGGTGGCGGCATTCGTCGCCTGAATATGAGAAGCAAAATGTACAGTAAAAAAAGCGTGCCTGATTATAATTACCCCTAATATTAAGCACAAGGATAAAAAGTATTTTGATTTTTTGTTAATTGAATTCAGCTTAGCCGGTTTACCTCAGTAGTCGAAGTTTAACTTATTAAAACTTCGACAGCCGATGCACCCACATACTCAAATGTGCAAGTATGTTCGTTATTGATTTTGAGTTATGACCGCGGAAATTAAAAGCTTAACTTCCCAAGCACACAAAGCCAAAATTTCGCTCAAATGATTTTCACAGAATAACATGTATGACTGCTGATGTAGAAAATTACTAATTTCTCGTCTTCACTTACATTACACAGCACTTGCACCTTTACCATTTTACTGCTGGCGCTGGTGTATTTATAGGGGCTGCAAACCAATCCAAAAATCGATGCGGCTCAGTTCAGTGGTTGAACCACTTAGGGCCGTTTTCTCATCTAACCTTTAGTTTACCGGCCACTTTATCNAAAAATGTATACCGGTAAAAGAGCCGGTTGATGAGCATCTCAGAACCGCGGTTCGATTCGGTTTAAATGGGAAAACTTGTTTATACTAAGGGCCGGTTTCTCAAGTATGTTTTACTAGATATTTATCTGCCCTTTAAACACAAATTTTGTTCTATTTTTCGCCCGCTTCCATCAATTAATTTAAAATTTATCACCCTGTTTGTTCCGAAAATTTGTTACATTACGTTTTTACGGTCTGATAAATTTTAAAATTGGTTGGTCAAAACCAAGCATAAGTTATACAAATATTAAAATCAAATTTTTTTCTTCATCTAATACCCAAAATCGGTACTACTTTAGTCGAAGATATCACATGTAAATTTTTGCCCCGATTGGAGTCGGTTAAGGCGTATCGCACAGGGGTCAAATTTAAGATTACTCTATGAAAACGCCTTAATCGGCTCCAGTCGGGACCAACTTTTATATAGATGAAAAAAAACAATAATTTATATTTTTTGAGTCTCTATAGAGGAATCTGAACTTTGTCATCTGTGCGGCACGCCTTAAGGGTCCACAATCGGGACCAAAATTTATACGTGATATCTGTGACCGTGGTATTACCAATTAAGGGGGTGAGACGGAAAAAATCCTTCATTTTATTTTTAAGGAACACCCTAATGTACATACATATATAAAAAATAAAAAACTTTGTTATTGAGATCAAATTCAAATATGTATAATATTCGCGAAACTAAGGTCCATCATAGTTTTTCTCTCTGACGTCACGATTTTTTTGAAAGGACTTTATAATTAGAAATATATGATTACCTCAAAAAAATTATTTAAAAAATTAAGGGCAATGTAGAAAAACCGTATGGGTTAATGAGAAATTTATGTAGAATTAACTCTGATTAAATTTTTTGGTGCATAAGGACAGGCAAGTACTGGAAATGCTTTTTTAAAATTTTGTTCTTGAATAACCTTGAAATCTTGAAAAATTATTTTTTGAAAAATGTTATGCTAAGAATTAATATACACTCGACCACATCCTCGAATATAAGCTTAACTCTAGAATCATAAGACAGTTTTAACCTACGTTATAGGTAATATACGTAAATTTTACTTACCATTTGTCTGTGTTATTTTAAATAAATGTTTAATAAAAACTTATTTGTCTTCTGTGTTGATTTTATTGAATGAAAATATAAAGTTGTTTGTTTCTTAAACTAAGTTATAGAAAAATTTATGGGAAATTCTCCATACATTCCTGACATATTTTAATTTGATGCTCACCACACAGGACAGCTTCGTTACATATTGAGCCGCGTCAAACTGGACAGTTGAAAGCATTGCTTGGGTATTGAGCTAGAACTATTACTGTCTAGTTTTACGCTAGTTCTGAGCTAGACAGATTTTCTGCAGGGTGCTTTCTTTATTTTATTTTTGCATACACAAGTCAATAATTAATCGAATGTCAGTCCGCGTTTGGTGTATAGGTAAGCAGTCTCTGTTACTAGATCTTGTAAATAGAACTGATTTTAAATTATTTTCTTAATAAATCTTTCCAAGCTGCTTCAAAAGATATTTATTCTTTGGACACAGATGACTTAAATATGATGATGAGGCTGGTTGTGTAAACACTTAAGGTTACAGGGCTTATTGTAGTAGGTGAAATCCCGTATTCCTCGGACTCGGACTAGTAAAACTGTCAAAAAATAAAAATTCGCTCAGAGCGAGAGAGTAACATTGAAAAGTACGGGATCGCTTTCGAGTAAAAAATGGTAACTTCTGTCAACTTCAACATAACCTCCAAATTTTGGTTGTAAATTTTTGCTTATTTTGTATGTAAACACACTCAGCTCACACATGCAAATAACCAAAAATACTTTCAAATTCATTAGAATCCAGTTAAACAAGTAATTAAATACTTTTCAACATTAATTAGCAGAGTGCACTTTTCTTTTGTTTACAATTTGGTTGCCAAACACACTACAGCTGATCGTTTGACATATTTACTAGAATTTACCAGCAAAAAATTCTCGGACTAAAACTGGTAACTTCTGACAGAGAGAGAACCGTATTTACTCCCTTTTTTGTCCTCTCAATAGTCAGAGAACCGAGTACGGGATCGATTTCCATTAAAATCTGACTGATTCTGACTATTTCTGAGTAGTCCGGACTGGTACGGGATCGCATCTAATGTTTGCAATTGCACATTAAAAGCCAAATCAGGAAGAGCTGATCTTTTGCAACACGCTCGCAAAACCATCAAAAAAACTGTAGCAGCATAAAAAGTCAGAAAAAAGCAGGCAACTTTTTTAATACTTCATTGAAAATGTAATGAACCCAAAAAAGGCTGAAATATTGCTATGCTCTTTCTTAGCAGAACGTAATTTCGACAACCAACCCCCTTACCAAATGTCTACAAGAAAAAAATTATTCAAAATCAATTGTTTATTATATAATGAGCTTGTCCTTAATGGAAAAATAATAAACATTAAGTAAACAAAAGAGAAACAGCCAAAATCGATCAAAATGGTGATGACTTAATCAGCTGGTCAGAAGTGTATGTATAAAATTATTTTTATATTAACGATCTCAAACCAGTTTACAATGAATTTTAAATGTGCTCTGTCAAAATTACATTTGAATATACCTTACGTACATACGAGTATGTACCTTTGTATACAATAAATAAACTTTGTATAAACGACAAATAAAACAATACAGGATTACAATTAAAGTAAACATTCATCGAACGAACTTGGATTACGATAACAGTAATCGTAATTTTTACTTTTTAAAATTACGATTACTGTAATCGTAATCTAAATTCGTTCGATGAAGAATTACTGTAACCGTAAGCTTGTTTTTTAAGCTTGTTTGGATTACTGCAATCCTAATCGTTTAGTAATCGTAATTCTTATCGCCCAGCTCTGACATAACACATGTGATGTTGCTTTTTTGCCTGTTTTAAGATATTTGCCTTTTTGCCTATTGTACCTTTAAAAAAGTAATAATAGCGAGGAAAAAGCCCTTATTCCTGATAATACAAATGTTTCAAACGTTCCATATTTAAATCGGGCGCCACTTGTATCAGCTCACGCCGAGCGCACGTTTAGTACATTCAAAGCTGTGTTAAAGCCTGTTCTGTTACAAAAATATCAAGTTTATACTGAAGAAAATCTATGGATAAATAAAAAAGTAATAAGAGGTCTTATGAAAATGCGCAAAGATTCTTTGTATAAAAAATGAGCAGGAAGGAATGTTACTCATACGCCATGTACACCTGAAAATATCTCGTAAACTTATCCATAGAATAAAAAATTAACTCGATTTTCGGAATCAGCGAGCAATTCTATATAGGATTGGATATGTAGTGGCGTCCGTTGAACATTTTTCTTGTAAACCAGTATAATTTTTCAGTTTTTGTCTTTTATGAGTGCCTTTTTTGCTATTACTAAATTAGGTGATGTATATAGGTAAACAAAAAATTCAAAAGTTAATAATTTTCTTTTTGTAATATATAAAAATCTCGTGTGACAGTGTTTGTGGTCGAACTCCTCCTAAACGGCCCGACCGATCTTTATTTTTGTGTATATACGGTATTTATGAAAATCGGATGTAAAGTATATTTCATACCGGTGGGTGCAGAGGGCGTGGCACCTCCCATACAAACCGAATTTTTCATATTGCATATCTCTGAAAGTGTTCATGGTAGAGTACTGGAACTTGGTATGTACAAATTATATAAAATCAATCGCATAGTCATGAAGATAAATAGGGACTATTAGGAAAAGGAGCGTGGCACCTCACATGCAAACCGAATTTTCCATACTGCATGGAGATATGCAGATATGGAAGTTTTCTTGGTTGAGTACTCGAATATGGTATGGAGATATATGAAATCAATCCCATACTCTTAGAGAAAATTGGAGCTATTTGAAAAAGGGCGCGGCGCCTTTCAAACGCGTTTCTTTGTATGCATATAAGTACACTGTTGCCAGGTTTTTCAAGACGGCAATGAAAATAAGCCTGCTGACAACCACCAAACCGTAATATTATAAGATAAATGCGTCACTGAATCGCAATTTAACTTTATTTCGCTGCGTGCTAATTTTAACACTTACACTTTTCTAAGAAAAATTAAAAAAAATCAAGTTTTTTCAACAGATCTTTCACAAATAATATTCGACCTATTCAGACCTATGTACAGCTTTTTAATTATTTGAGCACCGATTCTCTTTATAGCAGAACGTTGAACATTTCTGCTGAATATCCCTATTGCAGGAGCCTACTCTTTGACTTTAAATAGCAAAAGAAGAGGGGCGTATGGGACAGTTTTAGCACAAAAGTTTTTAGCCACGGATTCAATGTACTTTATATCCCTATGAAAAAAATATTGCCCGACAAGTAAACAAAATCACTGTTTTTTGAAATGTGTGGTAAAAATAAATTTCCCAA